AATCACATAACTGAAAAGTATTATTTAACTTATTTTAACAATTTCAATTTGTACACATGTCAAAAGGTTTGTATGTATCATTCTGATTTGAAAAACACTTAATAGTTAAGATTATGAATACATGCAATACAATCGTTTACCTAAAGCTTAATTAATGCATTATAAATTTAGGAGTTTCAGATTTGTTTTAAATAAGAAATTAAACGTTTGAAATACTGCTTTGACATCCGTAATGTTCTGAATAAACTAAGATTTTTTTTTTTTTTTTTTTTTTGTACTGTGGATTGAACTTGGGACCTTCCGCTTTCAAGGCAGGTGGTGGAACCACTGAGCTAAATCCCCAGCCAAAATAAATTTTAATTGTATGTTTAAATTGCTAAACTTTCATAAATGGTTATAAAAGTTTGCAAAATGACTTTCAAGCAATTGATTGTAAATAAATTAATCATTGGTAATGAATATATACTATTAAGTATCAGTGATAACGAAGTAGGAGAAAATACATTCAGGATTTTTTGGGTGGTTCCTTGTTGCTCTGAAAGAATTATTTATATATGAAGGCATTTAATTTGTCTATAGAAATAATAATTTTTTATGCCTTAAAAGTTATGTCTTCAAGGGCCTGGCATTTAGCTCAGTGGGTCCTCCACCTGCTTCACAAGCGCAAGGTCCTGAGTTCGATCCCAGTACCAGGAAAAAAAAAAGAAAGTTATGTCTTCAGAAAAGTAACAAAAACACTTTATAATAAATGAAATTTGAATTTTTGGGAAATCCTAATCTAAGTAGTTGGGTTTTGTTTTTGTTCTTTTTTTGGTATTGAGGATTGAACTCAGGACCTTGCACTTGCGAGCTAGGTGCATTGCTACTGAGCTAAATCCCCAGCCCATTTGAGTTTTGTAAATGTATTTCGTCTGAGCCTTACTATTATAGATTCTTTTTTGGGAGTTATGAAGATTAACATCTAATTTTTGATTTTTGATTAATCATTTATCAATTTTGTGAATCATTTAGATCTTTTTACTTTGTTGTAATTTTCATATTTAGCTTATATACCAACAATTTAAAAAGAATTAAAGGCAATAAAAATAGAAAAGTATCCTAATTTTTCTTCTACTTACTGCTCTATTTATATCTACTTCTTGGCTATTTTAGTAATTGAATTGATGTTTCTGAATCTGTTGTTACTTTTTACTGTAAGCTGAATTTGCTCTGTGAGAACTAGTTCACCAGTGGGAAAAATATAACCATCGAGGTGTTGAAGAAATTTTGTTTTTGTTGTTTATTTACAGTCATTCAAAGTGAATTCTGCTAAGGGAGATGGGTGGGAATCCAGATGCTTAGAGCTGTCCTCTCTTAACCAGGTTAGCAACTGACATTCTCACAGGAAGTTGTTTTGCTTACATGGGATAAATTGATGGTCTAGGTCTCTTAAATTAAAAACCCTTGATAAAATTAGATTTCTTGTTATCATCTTAGGCAGTTAAGACTGAGGCTTCATTGGTAAAGAACCACTAACCTGTTCGTTCACCCCACCCCCAGGGCGTGAGCTCTGAAAAGGATTAAGGCCCACGGTAGGGAAGCTTGTACTGAAGCCTGCACTGCCCTTTCCCCTGTTCTTTCAGCTAAATAGAAGGTTTTTAGTTCCCATGACTATCAATTTGATGCTTTTCACAAGAACTAATTTTTTTAAAATTAAGATGTCATATTTTTAAATATGCCTAGAAAAATGGTTTTGTTGGTATTTCATTTTGACAGATCTTATACAACATATTTTTTGATGCATATTAATTTGCTTTAACTTATTTTGAATTTGGAGGTCAATATATACATTTAAAATTCAAAGACAGGTTTTTATATGGATAGGTTTGCTTGTCCAGTTAGTAACTTTTAGAAAATGGCAGTATTGAGTGTTATATTTCATCAGAAATAGCTGTCTGACAACACTGTGGACATAAACTCTTTAACTTATTTCTAGATGATTGCAGTTGTAATGTGCTTTCTTTTTATTGAGACTTAAAAGCTTTGAAATCTCTTTTGTAAATGCCGAAGTGTCATATTTTTTACTATCTGCCAAATTGGTATTGTATTTAATCTTGAAAATATATTTTGATTTTGTTAACTAAAAATAATTGCAGAATATTAAACATTCTCAATAGTTGAAGCTTTTTTTCCATTTAATTTGAGCTTTTGTTGTTACTAACAAATAATTTGTGCCACAGCTTCTTTTCTTTCCTTTTTTTTTTAAATCACTGCTAGAATCTATGTACTTGTCACCTTAGTGTGCTAGAAATGTTCCACTCAAATCAAGGGTTTCTCTTTGGTTTTGTGTGTTCTCACCTGCCCCTCACTGTAAATCATTGAGATGTCAAGTGCAATGATTAATTAAGCTGCACGTGCAAGTGCTTTTTTTTTTTCACCTGTCAAGCAGGAAAGAAGTCTTACAGCAAGAATTAGATGGTACTGATTCACAGCTTTTATTTCAGTTTGTCAAGTATGTAGAAATATTGTGTATTTAGATGCTTATGAAGAAAATGGCAGAGCATGGTTTGTTTGGTTTAGAGTTCTTAAATATTGTAAGATACAATTATTATAGCAAAGCCTATCATTAAACTATTAATTAGAGGCAAAGAATAAACTCAGAATTCCTATATAATCATTTTGGAATTTTAAGACTCATACTTTGTAATTTTCTTTTATTCAAATGCTGGTATTGATTGAAGTTACTTAAATACTTTTAAATTTTGAAGTTGATTGCATTTATATTTGTGTGCATATGTATCATAGTGAGACTCATTCTCATTAAAATATATTATGGATTTAAATTTTTGATGAGATGATGGTGGCAATATTTTTATTCTTTCAGTAATAAATATTTGTAAAATGTAGTATTAAGCTTTTGGGTCCTATTTTTATGTGGAAATATAAAACAATGAACTTAGAAAGCTTTCTATCCCACCCTAGTTCTTTCATCCCTTCTTCCCTTTTAAACTATCAGTAAAAAGTAAAACCTCAAATTGTATAGTAATCTTAATCTATTATTAAAAGGTCCTAGAAAGGAAGATTACAAGGTAGATTCAGGTTTTGAATCGGTTTTACCATTGGTTTAGCAGCGGGTGGGCAGGCAGATGCCTGCTCATAGTAGAACCTATTGCCATTTTTCACCATTGATAGAGTAGCCTTTCAGAGTCAATGAGCTCTGTCAATGTGAGCTTGTCAAGGCTACAACTTCATAGACCTGAGAGGCGGTTTGAGAGGTCAGCCCTTTTCAGGTTCGCTGTGATGCAAATGAACTTTAATGCTTAAACAACTATTGGAATTTTTATGTCTGCTCCTTGTTCTTTTTTCTTCACAAAGTCATTGACGAGACATTCAGTGCTTTTTAAATTGGAAGTTGCATTGTGCTAAAGACCTAGTACAGATTTACGGAGGGCTGAAAGCAGTTAGATCATGTTCTTTTCATGGTGCGATTAGAATCAAATCGATTTCCCTACAGCCTTCAGCATTCAGATGGCAATTTTAACAAAGCTTGGGGGCTAGACAAGGGACAAAACGACTGAACTGAATGTTAATTACACTCTGCAGCCTTATTTTCTTTTGATTTGGGGCTGACTGGCAACTAAATTAACAAAAAGTGTGACCATAACTGCTGCCCTATTTTCATTTAAAAGGAGAGCTGCCTCTAAAAGGCTATCTTTACAAAGAAACAAGTGAGGTCTGCTGATCATTGTTAACAAGGGCACTTTTTTTTTCCTTTAAAATTCTTGCCAAAAAGACTGTTCAGAAAAGGTAATGTAATAAATTAGTCATTGGTGTATTATTACTCAGAGAGGTAGTTGATTTTCTCAGTTTTGTGGTATAAGCTTGGGAAATGTAAAGCAGTAGTGGTAATTCGTTGTAGCTGTGAATTATAATTGGTACCTATCTGCCTTTGGTGTGTCTAACTTGCTCAACATACTGAAAGGTAATATTGGACTGCATTACAGTAGTACTTTAAATAAACATTAACATCTTATTATGTAACATTTAAACGTCAAGTCCAGCTTGATCCTAACAATTTTTATGTAGCTCATCCTTGATTGGCATGCAAATTTTCATATTTGATTAATACTTATTTACAGTGGTACCAAATTAATAGCAATGGATGCTTTTATCCTCCCTCTCAAGAAAGCTGCAGCTGCACCAAGTTGCAGTTGATCCTGTGGCAACACTGTCACTTTTGCACCTGCAGCTGTGTCCATCTCATCCTAACACCTGGCACCATGAATTATCCTCTCCTTTATTTATCCTCCCAAGCAAGAAACATTTTGTGCTGCATATTATATATTGCAGTAATCAAGTGAAGCAGATTTCTCAGTTGATTCCTGAAACAGTACTATTGGATTAAGAATTTGATTTCCTATCAGATACCACTTTTTATGTTAGTAAAATTTTGGCTGTTCTTTTTTCTGTTTGTTTTTTAAATTTTGGCTGTTCTTAAAAAAAATCTACCTGGAATCCAATAAACTGGCTTTTCAATATGGGCAGTATTTGTATATTAAGTCTTAAAATTAATTTGATTTTATTGGTCTTTTTATTTAATTTCTATATTTACCGACAATATTTTTAAAGTAATATTTAAGTTACTTTTTGTTTTAAAATACAACATATATGTTAAGGAACTTTCTATTTAAACATTGCAAAAATATATTTGAAAAAAAGTGAGAATTTAAATTATTTGATAAATGACATTAGTCATTAATAAAATTGATAGTTTTAAATGAGAAATAGTAAGTTTGAAACAGTTTTTAAAAGATATATATACTTTAAAACAAAGCTGTGTTTGGTTAAAAAGAGCACTACTTCTGTTTAGGTTGCTATTTAGTGCTAGAGCATTGAAGCAATACACACCACCCTATACTTAGTCACTGTCTTATACTTCTCCCCTTTTCACACAAAAGCAGCTGCAAAGCAGTTTTTCTAAAACCAGTCAAGAGTAAACTTTTTCCTCATTTGTCTTCCAGACACGAAGATCGATTGAGAAGTTATTAGAATGGGAAAACAATAGGTTATACCACAAGGTGAGTACCACAGGGAGCAGCTTCGTACTGTTGGGGCCTGAATTGCACAGTATGGAAACAGATGCTTTTGTTGAACTAAAAATATGAAAGGTGAACAAATGGGTTAGTCTGTGTGCTGCAATAAAATAGAGCTCATTTTTCTTCTTTTACTCTCCTACTTGTCTAGCTGTGCTTGCACTGGAGACTGAGCAAAAGGAAATGTGAAACGAATAACATGATGGAATATGTAAGTTAAAGGGCTGTTTTGTGAGTTTCTCTATTAAATGATCATTTATTTTGCTTCTGATCTTATTCTTTCCATGATTATTAATCAGCAAAGGTGTCAGGAGCTTAATCTCCTGAGTGCAAGGATTTTCTACGGTTCACAGATGCATGGGTTTCATGTGCAAGACTTGATTTATAAAGTTATGAATGACTTGAAAACAAGGCTTCGCTGTGTTCTGAAAAATAATAAATTAATTGCCAAGATAAAATAGCCTGAACATGTGTTGATGGAGTGTGAAATTTTAGATGCTGTATAAAGAATAACCACAACTTTGGTTACGCAGCAAGTCAGATATGGCTTTTTTATATAATGCTAATCAAGTTTCCAAGTATGGAAGAAAACCTTTCAGCCAAGCCACTGGAGCTTAAGAAACCTTTAGCCTTTAGAGACTTTAACTGCCTGTATACCTTAGTGCCTTTAGAGAATCTTTTAAAGTGTTATTAGAATATGGCTTTGTAAAAATTATCTTAAAAGTAAACAGAAGAGGACATACTGATTGTCTAGTGTTTAATTTTGCATGTATGTGCAATTTTAAAACTTTAATTTACAGATTCCCTAATTTATTTGAACAGTTGATCTCCTTTTTGAGAAGTTAGGGATACTATAGAAAATTATGAATTTTTATTTATTCTCCTTGAACTTGAATGTTTTAAATGTGGAAAGGTTATTACATTAAATGAAAAAGATTTAAGGAAGAATTAATTACTGAAAATTAAAACTAGAGCTTTTGTGAAGTGCCTGGTATATTTCTGATGAATTTTGTCTATTCTTTGAAACAATATAACCATCATAGATTGTATGTGTGTGCATAGAAGATTGATGAAAAGTATTTAAATAGTGAAAATTATCATAAAATCATTTTTCTCCGTTAGCATTTTCTGCTTCTTTTATTATTATGCTCAAATCTTGTGCATAGAAGATTGATGAAAAGTATTTAAATAGTGAAAATTATCATAAAATCATTTTTCTCCGTTAGCATTTTCTGCTTCTTTTATTATTATGCAGTCAAATCCCATTTTTAGCATTGAACATAAAAGATATTTTTTAAGTGTCTCTTTTTTTTGTAAACTAGCTCTATTGAATTAACTGAATAATGTAGATTTTACCTTTATTATACCAAATGTTAATTTATGATGATGAGAAAGGCACTTGATAATTCTTTATAATTATTTTTAAAAAGCACACTTGAGTAACATGTTTTCAGATCGACTGTGAAAATACTGGTCTTGTATTTTCATCCTAGCAGGTTTATGTATATATTTTGGAGAGAGCGATAATTTAGGATATTTAAAGGATCTTGTGAAAAATTATTTATTGCATTTTAACCCAAACATTAAGCCTAAAACTGAGGTTTTATTTGTTTTTGTGCATTTTAAAACTTACTTTGGAAAGGAAAACAGTAGTTACTCCTGAACTGAGGTATTGGTCAGTTATAGAGCACTTTCCTAGCATGTACAAGGCTCAGGGTTCAGTCTTCACCACCACAAAAAAGTTATTTGCAACGCTGTGATTTTGAAATAGAGCTATGTAAGTATCATTCATTCATAAAATATGCTGTCTATTTTTAGAGCCTTTTATTAACAAAAAATTTGATAACTTAAAACATTCTGAACATGTAAAATAGTTTCCTTTAATCTACCTTGAATTTTATGTAATTAAGCACTTGCAAAACCATTATGTTATTTTTCACATCACCATAAAAAAAAAATTCCAGAAGAGCAGTAAAACAAAAAATATTTTTACATTACTAAAAGATTTTTTTTCTAGATCTTCTGTGTGTGTATTTGTGGTATCTGAAAGTGGGAGTAACATAGCTTCAAAAATTCCCTAAAAGTAATTTTTAAAGATAAATAGAGCTAGTGTGAAGAGAGTGCATACTAATCTAATGAATTTGAGCCTTTTTACTATGTGTCTTTCTTTGCCCTCAGCTATTCTGTAGCTTGCAGAAATATTATGTTAAAGAAAAATAATTTTTCTTGGATCATGTTTTGAATATTGGAGATAATGTAGAAAAAATAGTAACTTGATACTAGCTTTTCTTTATTCACATAAACTAGAGAGGTACAATATAGAAGAAACAAGACAGTAGCCAGTTTCTGTATACAGTTTGTAAAGGAAGAGTATAAAATATCAGTCATCTTAACCATTCCAGAGGCTGAAGCAGGAGGATTCCAAGTTTGAGGCCAGCTTGGGCAACTTAGTGAGATTCTGTCTTTTAAAAAAAAAAAAGTGAGATATCTGTAGTAGAGTCTTGCTTAGCATTCATGAGACCCTGAAGTACTGAAAAAGAGGAAGAAGAAGAAAAAGAGGAGGGGGGGGCAGCAATTCAAATACAGTCAAAAATATCCTTAACTTTCAATTATGTAGAATACACTGTAAAATGTGATGCCCATACCGAGGGACTGAAATTCTTAGACCACTAAATGTGGGTAGGTTTGAAATATAGAAGTATTATTGAGTATTAATTTATAAGTAAATTGAATATTTAATCATCATGTTTTAGTATATCATGTTTAGAGGTAAAGTCTTGTCATCTAGTTAGTTCCTCAATTTTACAAGTGAGGAAGCTGAGAAAGAGGAAAATCTAGCTCAGATGAAGAAGCTATATGAGAAGAAGTATTTTTTAACAGGGAGCTAGTGAATATTTTATGGGCAAATAATAAGTGAGCAGATTGGCAAAGGTAGCTGAGCTGGTAAAGGGTTCAGTACAGGATAACCAGAGTAGGACTGGAGTATTTTTGATTGAGTTACCTTCTTTATTGAGGCAGATTAAAAGTGATAGAAATCAAGAGTAAAAATGAAGGTTCCTGGCTCAGATGGCTTTTAAATTTGTTCACATCTGAAGCTCATATGAAGACACAGTGTCTGAAAAAACAATGAGGAATCTGCCAAACTTGGAATTTGTTCAAATCAGATAATTTTTGCTCTTTTCTGTTCTTTTGTCATTTTTTGTTTAAAATAGGATCTCCTTATATAGCTCAGACTGGACTTGAACTTGCTATCCTTACCTCAGTCACTCAAATACTGGCATTACAGGCATGTGCCAACATCTCCATCTTCAAATAATTTTTTGACCAGCATCTATTCCAAACAGAGTTGGTGCAAAGGAAAGAGTTAATTGTATTATAGGACAGATCAAGTTTGGAATAAAAATTAGCTTTGGTCAACTTTTGTTTTTCTGTGTTATTGTGAGTTTTTTGTTTATTTTTCTTTAGTTTCTTACTAAAAGTTCTTTTAGAATAAACTTAAATTAATTTTGCTGACCCCAGAAGAGAAAGACTTAAAAAAAAAGAGATCGGTGACCCTCCTGTAGAGGTCATTTATCCTGCTATGATAAAATGAGGGCTGTTGTAGGATTTAGAGAGTGCCCTTGGAAGAGGGTTGACAAGAAAGGGACCATAAAGAGAAGTACTGGGTTAGTTCCAGTCACATAGTACAGTAGAAAGGGCGAGGCTTTGGCAATCATTTATTTAAATACTCCAAAACCCAAGATTCCAAATAATGGGAACATCAGTATTCTTATCAGTAAAATGAAGATGATAATACTTGTCTCATAAACTGTCTGGATTTAAGTAGATGCCTTTAATATAGTATGAAACACCTGTATGCAGTTAGTTTTCTCATCATGTGTGCATGCCTGGGGCGCACTGTGTTGCCCATCTCCACTTACCTTCTCAGACTTTGGTATATTGTTATTTGCTTCATAGAGTTGAGGAATTTTATGTATTTGGTAAAGGTCTAGAAATTTAAAAAGAAAAATTGTCAGTGATAAGGTTCTGGGTTATCAGATAAATGTCTGTTTAAGGAATGCAAAGTGGTAATTGTGAAATGTGAATGGATTTTCAAAAAAGCCATGATAGAGTATAACTGAAATTTTAAGATCGCTTTCAGTTAAGTATAACTGAAATTTAAGATCTGAAATTTTAAAAATCTGCTTAACTCTTCAAATTTTTTTTCTTTTCCTTTTGCAGGTCATCCTCATAGAATTTTTACCAAAGACACCGATTTTTCGACCAGATTAGCGTTTACTTTATTTATAGAGACTTTCCAAGTATGTTGTCTTTCCAATGGTGCCTTGCTTGGTGCTCTCCTGGTGGTGACATAACATTGGTTCTACAGAATCATGTGGTGTTTTTGTTTTTTTGTTTTTTAAATAAGTGCATGTTCTATGTGTGCGTATTTGTCAAACTTTGCCAGTTATTTCATACAGATGTTTAATACTTAAGTTATTGTGCTCTCTTCTGTTATGTATTCTGATTTTCAAGAATTACTGTTTTGTATTCTCAAAAAAATACATTTGAACTTAGCATAAAAAGTGGCCAGCCTTTTTTATTTTATCATTTATAAATTATATCATTTATAAATTCCTTAATATAGAAAAACACTGTTGTAAGGCTCTACTTATCTATCCTAGCAAACATAATCTTTGTTTTTTTTTCTTTTTAATAGTTATTTTAAACTAATAATTTTTCTTTAATAGCCTTTTGGAACCAAACATGCCCTTTCTCATACAATTCCTAATGTTTTGTTTATAGCAGATAAATCTGTTAACATTACGAAGACCTATAAAAATTTTTAAAGTATTTCTGTCTTCAGAGGTAGTAAGGCAGGATTTTTATTAGACTAGACAAATCAGTGAATGGTATGCATGCATCTAATGGTTAGAGCTCAGGATCACAAAATATAGTAGCATTACAATCTATATATATTTTTATTAAAATATTAATAATGGCTTTACTTGGGTTATTTTTATTGTTTATCAAATCTTATATACAAAAGTATGGAAGTTACTTTTAAAAATGTCTAAGAAGAATATTTCTCCCAAACTAACAGTTGTAGAATGGGTATGTTTCTAGTTTCAGAAAGAAAAGTTTCTAGAATTAAAAGTAAGCTGGTGTTCAGTACCCCCATTGATATTTAGATGATTATTACTAAGAAATGGAGAACATATTTAGTACTGGGTTTATCTACCCATTCACTTTCAGTCTGGTTATGTATATTTATTTGATTGAGAGTGACATACTAGTTTGAATCAGCTTAGTTTATTGCTTTTAAATATACATGTACACATACATATTTTTTTCTCCTTTTGGTTGTACATATCTCCTTGCATTTTTAAACTTTTAAAATTTCTGAATGACCTATGTGTACATTTTTGTTTTTATAAGCCTGCAGTTATACAAGTTTTAATGTGTATCAAGAACTTGTTCCATGCAACTGTGGTATCGAGCAATAATGTGAATAACTTTTGAAATTATATAAACTGTGCTTAGTAATTTGTATTAAGAATTGGTACCACTATACAATATCTTTTCTTGTATTAAATCTTTTAAATACCAGTTTCATTAGTTTATGTAAAAGTATTTTTAAAAAATATATTTCTTTGCACTTCTCCAAAGTACTGTATACGTCTATATAAATTTGAATAGTTAAATGCCAGTATTATATCCTAATGTTATATATTAGACATTAGGAACTAATCTTAAAATTAAGATTTAAAAAATTATTTTTTTGTCTGAGAGTTACTTATTTTCATTGGCTCCCTAAACTTAACTTGAATTTATGGAGCACTCTTTCTCTGAAGAGCTCAAAGTTCGAAGAATTCAAATACTTCTCACTTTTATTTAACTTATGTCAGGATGTGTCTTACTTCCTTAAATTAGTACAGATAAAAGTAATTCAGAAATTCCAGAAATTCCAGCATTCAGAAATTCCAGCATTCCTCTGTGGTTTCAGTGTTAAAGATACTGTATCTCCATGTACAGCTAAATCTGCCTCGAGATTCAAAAAGAGCAGAAAACTATAATGACTGTGTAGACTATGCAACATATTGTTTCTGTATAAAATTGTGTAAATCCAGGGCCAGGGATTTAGCTCAGTGGTTCTGCCGCCTGCCTCGCAAGTGCAAGGGCCTGAGTTTGATCCCTGGTATCAAAAAAAACAAAAAAATTGTGTAAATCCATAGTCCTGTAGTCATCAGCTTTATAACTTATTAGACATAATTTTCCTGCTAGTCTGTGATAATTTTCAAAATTAATATATTCTTTAATCATATTTTAACAATTTCCATAGTTGATATTAATAGGACTTTGAAAAGCTTTTCTAATTTTGAGGGTATGTCACTTGTTTGAAGAAATGTGTAGTATTATACTGCCAGTGTATCTGTATTATCTTTAATGCCTAATCTGTGGCATTGCATAAGCCACTTAGACCTTGAACAGTTAGAATTTCATGCTTGAGTTTTCATTAGTATCCTTCAGTGTGTTATCATTTCTTGAATCTTGAATTTAAGTGCTTGTGTTACTGAAACTTAGAAATGTCAGAGAATCTTATGTTATCAGCATCAGTCCAAGGAAATACTTAAAATTAAGATTGTCCTTCAGAGCCTGTTCTGGTTTACAGTTTGTAGGACATGAATCATAGGTGCTTTTTAAACTGGCCAAGAAAAGATATTGGCAGAAAATCCAATGTATAGATCTTATAATGGCTAAATGAATAATTTCTGTACTCTCTCTCTCTTTTTTTTTTTAAATACATTACTGGCCTTTTATAGGTAGTCACCATTCCTGTATAGAAACATTTTTTTCTCAAGTAATTGTACTTTACAAATCCTTTTTTTTACTCCTAGTCCATAACTTTGCATGTTTAGGTTAAAATAGATCTTTAAAAAGCCTAATGACTAGTAACACTGATGTGAAACAATTGACTTCTAAGGTAGATACTGTCCTTCCCTCGAAAGGTGTTTGATTGCCTATTTAAAATGATCATCACATGCTTTATTAAGACTCCCTAATGACTAGATGTCAGTCATTTAAAATATGAACCTAAAATCTCCAAATTAAATTTGGTCTAAAATCTATAAAATAAATTTAACAAAACCTTGAATAATAATAAATAATTTTCTTATTAGAAAAGCTTTTTTACTAAATAATTTTAAATCATGAAGAGCCACAGTTTCCCCAAGGTTGTATTTTCACTATTTATATACAGTTTCTGGTTTTATATTAGAAATAGGCCAGCCGTAAGAGACTTTGGCAACATTCCATTTCAATAGTTGGTGGTAAAATTATATTAAGTAGTAATATGTATAGTTGGGCTCCAGTTGGCATGAATGCAAATTACAACTTTCTTTGGTATCTGGCTACACAGGAACACCCTTTAGCTGCATGCCAGATGTTTGACTGTGAATACTGCTTTGGCTTGATCTGTTGGTCAGTGGTACTAAATCAGAAATGCAATGTGTTTAAAACTGTTTTTGAACTCCAGCATGTCATCCTGGACGCTCTTTCTTTCTGTCTTTCTGAAGTACCATGGATCCTTCCTTTGGCCTCTGGATGGCCAAGTTTTCACCTATACCTGGGTATAGTTCAGTTACCTTTTCATCATCTTTCTCAAAGCTCCCCATGAGAATGTTAATTATTTTGCATTCTTAGCTAGATATTTAGAAGGCCACCTAAGTGATGTTGACTCATACCCTCATACCCTCAATTCTGCAAAGGTGATACTGGATTTTACAAAGGGAGTTTCTTAATTGTTGCAGTGGTGCAATTGATGTTTTTCTTCTTAACAGATCCTGTCTGTCCAGACTTTCCTGAAAAGGATTACTAGGATGGTTGAACTTGAGGCTGCTTCTCAAACCATTCTTCTTGAAGGAAGCTGATTTATGTCTTAATTTTTGGGAGGAAGGAATAAACCAATGCTTAAACAAAACTATTATCCCAGAGTGGTTTATGTGAAATATTTAGCCCTTCATAAAATGAAATGTATAATTTTTCATTTATGTAGTAGCCAGCTTTATTTTGTTTTTGGAACATATTGTTTATAGAAGTTGAGATTTGAAGGATATCTATAAATCTTGAGTTACTTGTCTGCACATATACAAAGATTTTTAGATAGCAATTTAAGAAAAGCCTAAACATTTATATCATTAACCATAATTCTGTGTACTTGTTTCTGTAATAGCAATCAGTAGTTTTTGCCACAAAATGCCATATGAACCAGCAAAATATTCAGTGTTATCTTACTTGGTAATACTGAAAACAAAAATGTAGGATGCTGTTGCTGATTTTGAATTCATTTCTGATATGTTGCACTATTTATCAAATTACTTGGCCTGTTTGATTTTATGCTATGACTACCTCATGGTGTTATTCTGTGAAACAGTGGTTTCAATAATATTTCCTGTTATTTGTTAAATCCTATATAAAATTTAATTACCTAAATGCTTAATAGTAATGACTGAGCTATTTTGAATTATTTAGTGTCAGCACAAACCTGAATTATGGTCAAAATTTATTTTTTTGTTTTTAATTTTTTGAGTTTATTGGCACATTTCAGGTATACAGTACAGTTACATTCATTATTGGGATCTTGTACCTTTACATGACAGGTCTTGGTTCTCATTTTTTCCCCTTATCCCTACCCTCCCTTCACCCACTACTCCCCTCCCTATTTACAAACACTTTATTTCCAGTTTTTTCATTTTCTCATATTTTTTTTCCCTTATTACCTTTCCCCTACCCTTCCCACTTTCCCTACACCTTTAGCCCTTTTCTTCCTATTTCACATTGTCATTTATCTCATTAGGATCTTATGCACTATTATAGTTTTTCACACCAGAGAAACTATTCAGTATTTACACGTGTGTGACATTTATTTCACTTAGGAGTATATCCTCAATATGTATCCATTTTCCTGTGAATGAATCTAATTTCTCATTCTTTATGGCTGAGTAGTATTCCATTTTATAGAAAAACCATATCTTCTTTATCCAGTCTCTAACTGATGGGCAAATGGTCTGTTTCCAAGTTTTAGCTTTTACAAACTGTGCCACTATAAACATAGGTGTGCATATATCACTGTGGTATGATTCTTTAATTCTTTGGAAAGATACCCAGCCAAAATTTATGTTTAAATTAAAGAGATTGGGCACTCCCTATATATAACGGCCTTGTGAGTTTAAAAATCAGAGAAGTGTTAAACATAGTACTTGAGAAATGTTCCTTTCTTATTACTATTTTGGTTTTTGTAGTTTAGGTTGGTCTTGAACTCACCATGTAGCCCAGCCTGACCTTGAATTCATGGCAGTTCTCTTCCCAAGTGTTGGTATTACAGGCACCACATGCAGCTGAAAAGTTCCTTTAAAAGGAACTTTTAAAATATAAATCTGACATACTTAAGCAAAATCATGCAGAGGATTTTTTATATTGCCTCTACTTCGTAGATACACACTGCTCATAATTTGAATATAACTTACTTTTTTCTCTTTATGAGAAATAAACAGTATTTTACTTTCCAAACTTCATCAGAAATATACCAG